TATAAAGCACTGCGAGTATTTGTCGGTATTAAATCTTCAAACATTTCCTCTGCATGGCTGATTTCCTGGAGGAATTCTGATGAAATTGGCGGAAGAAGATACACTTGCAATTAACTTTGCTTGCCTCAAGTTTTTTTGAAATGTGAATTGTGGTTCAGCCACAAACATTTGTCTTACAATTAGGAGGCTCCTTTATTCTGCTCAGGACTTTAAGTTTTAAACAAGTGGGGTTTGTTTATGCAGGCCTGTATTTAGATTCAACAGTTATAATAAGCCTTTGTCATTTGCTAAAGTTTTGATCCCCTCCCCCTGCCCCATTTTTTACATTATTACGTTTTAAATATTATTAAATTTAAATCATGTTCCTGGGAAATTTAGCTAGCTTCCTTTGCTGTTTAATAAAAATGGGGTTGGAAAGTTTCTTCTCTGTTGAGTTCATAATCTTATTTTTGGAAAGTCTGGGTACTGGAATGTGTTACTTAAATTTACTGGCACCTGTTTAAAAGTGTTTACCTTAAAAAAAAGTCTTGTTGAGCTTTCTGAAAACCCGCCTAAGGTTTCTCCTGGGGGCGACGAATGCCCTCGGCGTAGCGGCGTGCCCGCGCGGTGGTGAGCGCCTCGCTGCTGCTGGGCCTGCTGCGCTGTGGGGTCCTTGGACCTTCACGAGTGGCCAGGAGCAGTTTGTAACGCTGAAGAGCTGCTCTCTTTTCCTGTCCTGTGCAGTAATTCAGATGGGGTTTCTATGCGTGGAGTCCGTTACGCTGTTAGGTGGCCGCATCACCAGTGCGCGGTGTCGGTTTAACCCTGGAGAGGCTCCGAAGGGCGCTGAAAGCGATGCTGTGTTGGTAGTGCTGCTTGTGCTCGTTCCCCTGCTCAGCTGGGAGAGGTACGCTAAGACATCACAGCTGGTCTGTAGTCGGAAAAACTAAAAGTATGAGGTTCCAACACACGCCCAAACAAAATCCCCAGAAAGGTATTTCTGAAGCCCAAGTTCTCGTGAGGTACCGGTGTGAGACAGCACCATCTCCATGGTATGAAGAGGACTTTTCCTGTACTGCTGGAAAGGCGGTGCAGGTGCTGGCAGAGCTGGGTCTGCCTGCGGCTGGTGGGGTTGTCCCCTACAGAGTGACAGTGCTTCACAGCTTCCACCTCTCCGTTCTTTCTAGGAGGAGCAGAACCGAGGCAAGCCCAACTGGGAGCACCTGAACGAAGATTTACACGTACTCATCACTGTGGAGGATGCTCAGAACAGAGCAGAAATAAAGCTGAAGAGGGCTGTTGAAGAAGTGAAGAAGTTACTGATACCTGCAGTAAGTATTTGTGTGCAAGTCTTGGACTGCCATTTCCATAAATTACTTCTGAAATATAATTACTACCACAGCAGCAAGAGTCAGGCTCCAGAGCGGAGTCCGAAAGTGAAGTTTAGATGTTAGTTTGTAATACTCTAGTGATCTTTAGAATGTCTTGTCCCAGATGGAATTACTCCTCAGAGCAGAATAATGTTTTTAGGAGATGCTACTCTTCTTTGCCTGCGTGAGAGGCAGATTCAGGAAGCTCTTAGCCCCTGCAGAAGGCCGTGCTGACCTGCTGCAGACACGGGCTGTCTCGCCTGCTGTCGGCGCAGGGAGGCTTCGCTCTGAGGCCGGGGAAG